ACGAAATTGTGAAAATGTATCTTCAATGGGGTTTTTAGAAATTAGTCGCTTACATCATCAATAATTGCATATTAGTCCCTCAAATCTTGAAAAATGCATGTTAGCCCTTTAAATCTTTACTAATTGTGTGTTAGTCCCTCGAACCATGGAAATGGCATAGTAGTCCCTCAAATCCTATAGGGTCTTGCAAAATGGTCCTTCAACTTACTTAAATCACATTAGATTTGGGGGGACTGTTATGTCAAATCTAACGTCTAGAGTCAAAATGACCATTTTGCCCCTCTATAATGTTCCCCAACCATTTCTTGATAGGTTTAAACCCAATAACCTCTTACAATAAATACAAACTCACTTGAGTTCTTCTTCAGTAATGGTTAGTAAAAAACACTAACCCAAAGTTTGGTTTCACTTGAAACATTGGATATAAGGGTGGTTTGTTCAGCTTCACAAAGGGTTGAAACATCGGATATAAGGGTGGTTTGGTGATTGTAGATTTTGGGTTAGGAGTTAACCTAACCATGATCAGTTTTTTGACTGAAATACTGGCTAAATAACCATTTTGCAACATCCTATAGGATTTGAGGGACTATGTGCAATGTCTAATATTTGAGAGGCTAATATGCAATTATTGAAGATTTAAGGGACTAATATGCAATTTTCAAACATTTAAGGGACAAATGTATAATTATTGCAGATTTAAGGGACTAATATGCAATTTTCAAGATTTGAGGGGCTCTATGACATTTTGAAGATTTAAAGGGAATAATATCTAAAAAAACCCATTTTCAATACACCTTCAGTGTTTGACAGAAAGCAAGGCGCAAAAGCTATAAAATTTAAAATTGGAAAGGGTTTTTTTTTTTTGCCATGATGCTACGGGGACCCAAAAACATGGAACCCTACATGGGACAGGTGAGGTGTCAGCTCCGACAGGGAGCTGACACCTCACCTGTCCCATGTTTTTGGGTCCCTAAGACATTTTTTTTTTCTTTTTTGATGAGGTGCGATTCTCCATGTTTTGTTTTGTTTTTCTTTTTTTTCCCCTCTGTAAGTTTCAACACTTGCTTCGACCAAATTGGCTGCGAACATTTATTTCAATTTTTATGCAAATAATAACTTCACTTACCTTTCCTAATTATAATGTTGCTAAGTAAATAGCTGCAGTATTTGCTTCTAAATCTATGTTCATGTTCTGTTTGGAATGAGATAATGGTTTGGATGGGAGCTGATTTCGGAAGTTGTGAATATTAACAAGTTGCGAGGAGGATAATTTGATAAGCAAGTGAGAAGAGCTGCTTTGGCTGCCACAGTTTATGTTTCACGGATGGAGAGGAATCATAGACTGCATGACCTGGGGCAAATAGGTATTAAGGTGATTGTTAAACTAGTGAAGATGCATGAACATGTAATATTCCTGACAAGTTCAATCGTTGGGTGGATAGTCTATATTCTACTTAAGATATGATGTGGAGTTTATATTAAGGTGCTGTTAATACTTGCCTAGTCTTCGTCGAGGAGTATTTTTGTATGCAAGCTAAGCCTCAATATCGTGCTGTTCTTGTATTGTGCAGGTATGCTGATGCTTTATTGTACTTATTGCACATTGGTAATGGGAAAATATTTTCCATTGGCCAAAACAGGTTACACAAAAATCTCAACAGTTGATGAACTGAGAATGATCAGAACATGTTTGATATGGTTATATTTTGAATCAAGCTAGTGCTGTACATCAATTTTTCCTGGAGAAAATCACCTGAAACTGGTTGATGTAGAATCCATCACCGAAGTTTTGGAAAAAGTTGCTTGGTTTGTTGGTTGGAGATTGAGGAATATAAGGAACACCTAAGTTGACGAGCGCTCGCACTCTGTCGGGCCTGAAGAGGCACAGGTGCCATGCTACTGATGCACCCCAGTCATGCCCAACCACAAATGCCTGTATGCATCAAATAACACCACCAACACAATCAAAGAAAAGAAGAAGAATATGATGCCAGCAAAATTAGAGAAAATAAAGACACTGAATATAAACAGTATAGAGATAAGCGAAAAAAGGCCAAGGATCTAAAGTGGTTCAACCAATATCTTGATCTATATTCATGAAGAAAGACAACAATAGAAATTCACTAATAAAAAAGGAGATTATAGTAAACTGGGTTTACTATAAACCACAAATGAAAAAGAAAAAAGAATACCTGTTGCACTTTGAGGTGATCAAGAAGTCCGATGAGGTCTCCAACAAGATGAAGAATAGTGTAAAGACGCGGATCCGGAGGCGAATCCGTGTCCCCGTACCCTCTCAAATCGGGTGCAATCGCCCGATACCCATTTCGAGCCGACTCAGACATCTGATGCTTCCATGACAACCATAACTCAGGGAAGCCATGGATGAAGAGGACCACAGGCCCTTCCGGGTCCCCTTGCTCAGCTACATGCATCCGTATTCCGTTGGTTTGGATTCGGGTGTGTCGAGTTTCTCCCTCCATTAGTTCTCTCTCTCTCCCTCCACCTCCCCCTTCAATGTTTAGGACTTGGGAGAGTGTTTTGAAATTTCTGTAGGTCTATATTGACGGGCGGTGAAGTCTAATACTTCTATTGTGACGCTGACATGGCTTTGAAGATTTATGATTTTATATGAGTCATCTCTCAAGTTTTCAGGTTGGAATTTTTGATCAGTTTGGCTGTATTGGTAAATTTCACAAAACCCCTGAAAATTTTAATGCTGTTTCCCACGAAACCTCCCTAAACTTTGTTTTTCCCACAAAACTCCCCAACTTTTCGCACAGAAATCCCCAATTTTCATTTTTTCCTTGTAGATAAGAGCTCCGTCTTTTTTAAACCTAAAAAAAATTCACTCCTTACGCACTAGAGAATATTGCTTCTAACATTAGGAATTTATGAAATTTCATCTAAAACCCATGCAATCCAAGAGATATTTTTGTAGTTCAAGAGCCAGTACACAGATCTCTACCGCTACGACTAACCCTAAACGAAGGTTATGGTTCAAGACTAGCAATGTTAAAGTTGGAGGGTCCTATATGAAACCTGCATATTATTAAGGATCCAACTCAGATGTATGACAGCTGATGTAGCATGTTTAGCCTGTACGTTATTATTAGGGATCCATCACTGATATATCACATATGAATGTTGCTGTAGCATGTTTACGGTCCAACATAATCTTGAAAAGTAATTGATATGATATAGAAGTTTGCAACGAGCCAAATTTAGGTGTCTTTCAAAGCTCCTTATGAAAGCCGGATGCGGGCCGGCGGGTGGGTGGTGGGGGGGATCTTGTGGGGTAACAGTCAGCAATCGCAGAACTTAATTTTCGAAATTACGGTTCGTCCTAGAGCGCCAGACTATGGTTGAAACTAGTAAATAGAGATATCCACTGGTAATTTGAACAGATGAGTTCTGGAACTTGGAGGACACCAAAATTATAATGGGTTCCCGTAAAAAAATGGATCTGTTTAGTCTTTATTGTCGATCCTTATATATATATATATATATATATATATACTTTATATATATATATATAATATATATATATATAGATATAAGTATATATATGAATATCAGTCCAGAACAGCTATAATTTCATATACAAGTGAAAATATTTTCTTTTTTAACATGCAGCAGCTCACAGACCCTTGGCAAAACTACTGAATCGCGTCAATACTCCTGCATTTATGGGCATTATTGCAGTATGCATCTACCAAAGAGGAGCTGTGACCACTGTTGTATGTCACAAGAACGGCACCAGTTTATTTAAACCTTGTCGTCATGAAACCACCATCTCGTCTCCTTTGGAGACCTACCATTCCTACAATTCTTCACATAACGATCGTTATCAGCTGGGCGTTGCTGCGAAACATAAAGGTTTGTGTTAGAAAGTGAGCAAGAGTGCTGAGAGAGGTCAGTAAACAGTTCTAATGAGGTTTATCTCCACCACTAAGTTAATTATTATCATATCTTTCTTAAGCACATCTACTCAAGTTCTTGTAGGCCAAGAGGTCAATGGAAGTGAGGAAAAACCCCAAACCTTTGCGGTGGAGCTCGATAGCATGGAGAGAATGCTAATGCACACTGAACTTACAGTCATTGCAGGGGACCATGAATCGTACAATATATCTGCGAAACAGAGCCACCAGTAAGAAATTATATGCCAAAATGATGGTGGCCAATTTTCTTAGCATGTAGTTTAATTAAATGTCGTTGATAGAATTATAGAGTTAGTGAAGCCAAAATAAAGAAAATTTTCAAGTTTGATTTAAAAACGCGTAGAGAAGACACAGAAAATCCATGACGTGATACCAATGATACAAATAAAGTTTAATGCTCAATGGCAATGTTTTAACACAGCTGCTCCATGATAGAAATCTCTCTTTTACATAAACAAAGCTAGCGTGCAAAGAGAAGAAGTACCAATATATATACATAGAACAGTAGCCAGTTGCCAAATGAAGACATAGGGTAATGGTTGACTTGCATGGGCAAAGCTAATCAAAGAGCTACATGGCAGATGCATGAGATCTTTTAAGTGGTTGTACAATGTATATTTTGTAAAACAGTAGCCTTGCTGCGATGAATGAACAGCATATCAGGGTTCTTACTATTAAGAAATAAAAAGAAAGACGCTAAATTGGGCATAAGATTGGTGAAGGGTCCTCACAGGAAACTTCTACAGAAAGCATACTGAGTTCTCTAGTTGTCCTACAGGAAATCCTGAAACCACTTGTAGAAAATCATATGAACAACCTAGTGATTCTTTAGTTACTACTTACTAGTTAGTAGTACTAGTAGCAACAATTCAAATGAAAGCTGTGGAAACAGTTTGATATAGAACGTCAGTTCCACAATTAATAATACAATTTTGACAGAGATAAAATCAAGTCTTTTCAACCTCCAAAACGTTAGGTACAAACTATTAGAGTAATTAGTATATCAAAGTTAGAGAAGTTTGTTTAGCACTATGTTGGAACATTACTAACTGTTGTCTTATGCTTAATTTCATTAATATAACATAACTCAACTATCCCTTTCCAGGATCAACTCACTTTTCCATCTCGGTATCTGAACAAGGTAACTAATCCAAAGCTCCTCTCTTAGGTAGGCCTAGAACATGGGACGTGGGATGCTAGAATGGATCTATAAGATCTAGTAATCAACTAAATGCAGTTAAGCAAGAAGATACATGAGAATAAACAATCCAAAGCTCCTCTTTTAGGCAGGCATAGAACATGGGATGCAGGATGCTAGAATGGACCTATAAGATCTAGTAATCAACTAAATGCAGTCAAGCAAGAAAACACAAGAGAATAAAAAATTATAAACTAACTATTCTAAACTAGACAAGATTTCTAAGTTTCATATGATCCAGATAGGGTACCTATATATAATCTAAGAGATGTATGCAATTCTATATGCAAAGAAAATTGCAAGATTCATAATTAATTGCCAATAAAATAAAATTAATTAATTAAACTGAAGACAGAAAAATAAATACTCTAGAATCAGCAGTAAAATCAAGTGAGGTAAGTGATGTATTGGAAAGAGTTTCATATGCATAAAGCCACTGTTTTTAAAAAACCTACGCCTAGTCCGCTTAGACGTAAGCCTAAACCTAGGTGGTACCTAGGCCGCCTAACTAGCGCCTAGCGGCTAGGCGGTATTTAGGCTGTCCACCTAGATTTTATGAGCGTTTAGGGGAGCATTGTCTGCTTACGTGGATTGCACCCTGTAGACATTGGTTGTGATTTTATGTGTTGTAGCCTACACGTCCTCCAAACTCCTTTAACCTCCAAATATGAACACCTTCACTACCTCCTCCGACCTTTAGCAAAACCTCATCGACCACCACTTAAATGAAGAAAAAAATCCGCCTAGACACCAGTCCGACATCTAAGCTTTCTATAACATTGACATTCACTACCAATTATTGTAATTAAAAATAAAAAAAGAAAACATCTTAGGCTCTAACCTTGTTAATTATTATTTTGGCTATTTAGCATTGTTTTAAATATCCCCGACATGGCCCGATATATCCCCCGATATATCCTTTTACAGGGCTTGTTGCAACCGATATGATCTTTAAATATCATTTACCGTTTTTTGACTATTTTGAGTGATAAATCCCCGATATGGCCGATATATTAGCCGATATGTGGACCAATATATCTTTTTATATAGCTTGTTGCAAAATAATATACCGTGTATGGAATTTTTAGGCGAGATATCAAGATTTCTCCATTATATCAAATGACATTTTGCCCTAAAAAAAGCAGATCAAATGTTGCAACGTTGCTTTGCACTTTTGTTTGTTTTAGAAGGTTGATTAGTGATCCTAAACATATATTATTTGTTTGTTTTAGAAGGTTGATTAGTGATCCTAAACATATATTATTCATATTTTGTATGCTTAAATTTTCATTACGTATGTTGAGATTACATTTTAATGCATTATACTATGTATGCAAACATTCATTATGGCATTCCGATATTTACCACATATCCCCGATATTTCCCCGATATCCGTAATCTGATATGAATTTTGACCATCCGATATTTTCCCGATATCCGATATTTAAAACCTTGCTATTTAGTATCTAAGTATGCATGATTTATTATAGAACTAAGATTGTTATCTTTTTTTGAAAATTTATATGAATCTAATACATATTTTTATCAATTATTATAATTAAATAATTTAAAAATAGACAAACGCCTAGGCGCTGCCTAGGCGTACGCCTAGGGGCCTAGACGCTAGGCGCTCGCTCAAATGCCTAGTCTGCCTAACGCCTTCTATAACATTGCCGAGCTCCCCCGATCTCTGTAACTACTAACAAGATAAATAGTACTTCTTAAATATCTATGTAAGTTAGTTAACAACAGTAATTTAAACTTAAGAAGTGTAAGTTCATAGTAAACTTAAGTTTAAGTTTAAGTTAAACTTAAGTTTAAGCTAACATCAAACTTAAGTTTAAGTTTAAGTTAATATTAAGTTTTTTGTTGATGGTAAACTTAAGTTTAAGTAAACAGTAAACTTAAGTTAATAATATTTTAGTTAACAGTAAACTTAAATTTAAGTTTATTGTTAACTTAATCTTAACAGTAACTTATAAGTTAAGTTAACAGTAATTTGCGTTGAGAATGAGTTTTTCACTGTTGAGATAGAACTTATAATTTGAGTTGAGAAGTATAAACATACAAAGAGCTATTGTAATTGATAAACCAAGTGATTTAGTTAATAATATTGATATTTTAGTATTTGTACATCTTTGATTGAGTATATATATATTTATCTTCAAGTAGCATAATTAAAAAAAAACGCCCAGAAACCGCTTAGACGCCTGCCTAGGCGACTAAGCGCTGGGCGTCAAGTCCGACGCCTAGAAGCGCCCAGCGTTTAATGTAATATTGCATAAAGCATGTAAAGTCAAACAAATGACAACCAAATAATGAAGACTAAATCAAACTAAACTATTCATGACTCAACAGACTCAATTAAATCAACTCAAGTCCAATGATAAAAAACAACTAATCTAGACTAAATCAAGACTAAATCAAGCCTTCCTCCAAGATCCTCTAGACTCTAAAGTCAAGTAAATGACAACCAAATAATGAAAACTAAATCAAATTAAACTCTACATGACTCAACAGACTCAACTAAATCAACTAAAGTCCAACAACAACAACAATAATAATAATAATAACTAATCTAAACTAACTCAAGCCTACATCAAGCCTTCCTCCAAGATCCTTTGGAGAAGGTCTTCTAAACTCAACCTCCGTCAACTCTCTTCAGCTCGGAAAACTTCACCTCAGAACAATATTGTCTACATCTTAGAACATTTTCTGTATTGAAGTATTCAAATCTAAAGTTTCTCCGCTCTCCTTGCTCTGATCTAACTTCTTAGGGAAATCTCTGCCTTACATCATAGTTGCATTGCCAAATGTTGTGACTAACCAACATATTAACCGTATTCACAAAGCATCACACCATGCCAAACACAATATCTAGTGCCTCAATAACATCCTACTTGCCTTCGCTCACCTTGGACAAGTAACGTAACCAGAAAGTACCGTTTTCCTTTCTTTTCTTTTTCTTTCTTTTTTTTTTTGGGGGGGGGGGGGCAATAATATCAAGTTTTCTTTTTAGAGAAAGTATTGGGTCTAAACTCAAAAATCTTAACTAAATATTACATATGAAATGATTGTTTACAAAAAAGAAATTACCCACAACTCCACTAGTATAGACAGAATTAATACAAGCAACTCCAAAAAAATTAATGAAATAAAGCTTGTAAGTGGTATTTACAAACCATTCTGATAACTTGCCATTTTTTAGTCATCATATAATTGCATCATTACTAATAACATAAAAATGTCAGATACAATATATGTTAAAAAACAATCATTCATCCATTAATATCCCATATAGTTTAGTTTTCATGATAACTATAGTTGAAATACTCTTTCAAGTATACTTGCAATTGCAACAAGCAAAATCAATATGAACATCGTTAAGTTTGTAAACAAACACATCTTTCTTTATTCTTACCATCTTTTCTAGAATAAAAATTTCATTCAAGTATGTTAAACTGTATAACATTTTATCCAATTTCAGTTCTAGACTGAAAACACTGCACCCTCAAAATTTCATTAAACCCTCACACCTAAGCTCTTATACCTAGGGAGGGGAGCACGCCGGCTGGGAGGCACGTGACCCCCTTGACCACCCTCCCTCTGCCACTGCCTTGGACACCAAGTACTTCCTCTAACATCTTAAACAACTAATTTCTTTATAAGCTCTCCGACTCAGCTTGATATACGTTCTCCAAACTTTCTTAAAAATTTTCCTATCTCAATCATGTTCGTTTATTTTCAGCCCTACCTTGACATAATCCCCATTCCCTCTTCACCCTTGAGACTGCGCCTCTAGATCAGGTCTTTCTTCCACATCACTAGCATATGTGTGATACCACTTGCACTATTTCGTTGTACTCAGTATGTGTGAGATCCACTTGTGCCTCTTTTGTCTCAAGGTTATTGTTCATTGTTTACCAAGTCTTGCGCATTTAGACCTCATTCCCTTCCTTGATAGGATGATCTATGTTTCACCATTTCTATTTCCTTATTGGGTCAATCTCTAATTTTTGTAGACAAAAACTACACTTAGTCTACCATCTTTTTACCAATATCAAGCTCTTAGTTCCAGGCTTCCAGCATTGGACAGGGATTTTATGATTATGCCTCAATTATGGATTATGGATGCTCCACTATCCTACTGTGTGGGTTCATCTCCTTACTGATGTTTCACCGTCAGCCTTTCATCCATCATAGATCCCATTTCTTCTAGTCAACATTCTACTGTTGCTCTTTGTCTAGATCAAGGATCCATTTTCTACAGCAAATACCTCATCCAGGCATCATCAACTCTTTTTCAAGTGTACTCAGGTCTTTGCATATAGATACTTTTCGTTGCTTTAGACTAACATTGCTTTCCTATATGCTCTCTAAACTCAGTATGTGTGAGCCATCGTGCTTGAGAGGAGTAAGAAGATATATTTAAACACAAGCTTGACTTGATAATTCATGACTACACTGTATTAAATCCAATTTCTAACTGTATATGTGATCTTCGTCCTTATTAATAATAACCAATTCTAAGCTTTCTTCTGTGACAGTATCAAAGCTATACAATCAATGCAAAAACTAAGACGTCCGCTGGACCCAACAGGGAAAACATGAAACAGGGGGTTATAATCTACAGGAATTTGCGAAATTGTGAAATTGTGCTCAACTTGAAAAAAACAAGGCGTAGACCATTAAAAACCCTCAATAACATCAATGTCAAGCACAATTTCTCAAGAATTAACCATGAACAAGATGCCCTTAATCTAAAAGTGATGACGCAAACCACCAAACAGAACACACAAAAACTTAATCCTTAATTTAACACACAATTAAATCACCTATAGGAATAAAAACAATATATGAAGAGCAAGAAGCAGAATTAGATTTCATATGACACTTGCAAGTTACAAGCAAGAAAATATCTACGATAGCCAGATATCGAGATCCTATCAACCCATCATGACAATCAAGCGCACTCATACATAAAGGTGCCTCCTTTGTCATTAAAAACATTATTCCTGACACCTATACCAAGATATCATTAAAACTAACACAGAATTCTTCTTAGTAAAGCAAAGAACACCACTAAATGCATTGAACCGAACTACCAATTCAACAAACGATAAATACAATACCAATATCCATTGAGAATTACCTAGACAGATATGCCCATTGCTGTAAATGTGTGGATGCAACGGCGCTGGGTGAAGAAAAATCACCTGTTCCATTAAAAAAATCACAACTTTTCCGTCAAAAGCACACAAATTTCACCAGATTCGCCATAAAAATCCAATCTTTTTCATCACCTGAGGAGCTTCCATGGGGTAATGCTCAGGAAAATCGACCTGAAGCTGGTACGGCTCATTAGCGTACAAAGTCCCTGGGGCTCCATGAACTTCAATGACCCACCTTCACAATAATCAAAAATTTTAAAGGAAGAGGAGAGAAAAGCCGTAATTCTATCATTTAACCCTAATTCTGCTGACCTTTGGAGATTGTCGGAGACCTTGTGCTTGAAGCCAGCAGGGGGGTTGACTTGCCACTCGAGGAGCTCTTTTTGGAGGCGATTGCACGCGATCTTGCTCAGAGCCTGCGATTGGAGAGAGTGTTGAGTCAGGGTTTACGTGAAATTGGGAGGGAAAAGTTTAGGGTTTTGGGGAATTATTTATTTACCTTGCGAGATGGGGCGGAAGTGCTGCTCATGCTTGGAGAGAGAGAGAGAGAGAAGGGAAAGGGGAGGAAGAGAGGAAGAAGAAAGACCGGCTTCGGTTCTGATATGGGTTTTTGTTTAGGTTTTTTGCCCTGTTAGACCCTCGAATTTTTGTTATGTCAACGCTAGACCCTCAACTTTTCACGTTTCTTAATTAGATCCTATATTCATTAAGTTGTTTGAGATAACAAACTTTTTTTTTCTTTTTTTGTCTTTTGCAACTTTGAATTTATGAAGTTGTTTAATATAAGACTCATGTTTCCAACAAACATAAAGATTTGAGAGTTTAATTCAAAAATATGAAGATGAGAGCGTCTACCATGAAAAAAGATCATCTCTAAGGCCACATTTAGCGAAGTGTTAAAAGGAAGAGGGACCAAGGAGAATCATTAACTTAGTTAGCTCATTAGATAATTCAAATGACTAAATTATTAACCTATTAAATAAGTTTTGTTTTAGTAGTTATGATCAGTTTTACTGCTTGGGAATAAAGAGGAGTTTGACTATGTTCTTTATAAATAGAGCGGTTTGACTATTTTCTTCATAAATAGAGGGGTTAACTCTTAATCTTTTTAAATTGGAGTATTAGTAAACTCCTCATTTTGAGGGGAATTTCTCTAGAAGGTTTAGTTTAACCCTTTTGTATTTTTTACTTTTGATAAATTATGGAGGGTTAACTCACTTTAACAAGTGTTATAGATTTTTTTATATTTGGCGGATTAAGTATGAGTGAAGTCTCCTAAATCGCTCAATTAACTCATTGCCAAACAACACCTAACTGTTGCTCTCATTTTTTGGAGTAGAGAGTCTATAGAGGGGGTTATTGGTTGAGGATTTTTTTTTTAATTTGGATTAGGATTTTTTCTAGGATTAACGTTAAGATATTATAGATTTAGGACAAGAATTTGAATTTTAATTTTATGAAGTTAGTAGCTTTGGACTAGAATTTGAATTTTATCTTTATGGTACTATTGGTTGTTCAGGATTACAATTAGGATTAGGATTTCAAAATACAAATTCTAATTTAGCTCTATACATTTTCGTGACAAAATTATGAATAAGAAAAGTCCATGTTAAAATTGGAGGATCGTGACCTTCCTCTTGGGATTTTCTCTCTTCCTTTCTTTTAATGAGTCCACATTTTTAACAAAACATTTATAGTTAATATTAAATATTAATATTAAATAGTTATTTGATAAAATATTAACTATAATCAATTTTAACTATTTTTAATTAACTATTTAAATATAATTAATACATAAAGGAAATATATTTAATAATTAATATTATTTAATCATTTTTTATTTAATATATTTAATATGATATATTTATTTTTAAATGTTACTTTTATCATATCTTAAATATATAAAATTCTTTTAATATTTAATCTTAATGTCAAATATATATAAGTTTAATTTAATTATTTGATAAGCATTATAGTAAATATGTACACGAAAGTAATATTAAAAAAATAACTTAGAAAATATTAAATGTTTTAAATATTTATTTTAGTTATTTAACATATTTCATATACTTTTAAATACTTCTTTACCAGATTACTTAAATATATTTAATAAAATTAAAATGAAATATTATTTAACATTTAATTATTTAATATTTTATATTATTAATCAATTTTACCTTTAATAATTCATATTATACATTTAATAGTCTAATATATTTGATATTAAATGTATTAGATTTTTTAATTATATAAAATAATTTATTAAATATTATTAAATGTATTAGATTTTTTAATTATATAAAATAATTTATTAAATAATATATGTATACTTAATATTTATCTCAATTTATATTTAAGATTTAATATTTATTTAAATATTATATAAAAAATATAGAAAATAAGTAATATTAAATATAATTATTATTTAATATATTAAATAACAAAAATTTTAAATATTAAATAATTTAATACTTATATTGAATGTTTGAAAAAAAATTCTATTTTATTAGCCTTCTCAGGAGCCAACTCACCCTTCAAGCATTTTTGGGACCTAATTGGCGACCTCAGTTGTGCCTCACCTAGCTCTTTAAGGGGGAGCACCACGACTACAACTCGGATTTTATCTTCCTCGGTCGGTGGCAAACGAGATAGGCCGACCACTCGGAGGTCAGCCGGCTTGAAGAGGTTGCTAATCTCCGTCGACCGATCATAAGCTCTTACCTTGTCGAGGCTCTGCTTCTCCTCATTCGTGAGCAGGTCCGGTTTCAGCACATCCTTCTTGACCTCGGGCCAAGTTGGACAAAGCAAGATGGAATCAGCCCCAAAAACCCACATGAACTTCTCCTTCCAATCTTTGTTCGAGTCAGAAGCATTCTAGACAAGTTTGGAGCCACCCAAGTTTGTGGAGATAGTAGTGCTCTTCCTTCTTGGTCGTCTTGACGCTGGCCAGATGGCCCAACATGCGTAGAGTCAACATAGCAACGACTTGGTGGTAGATCACCATATAGGCCACCAAAGTAGCGATCAAATTCGGCTTGATCTGATAAGTGGATATTCCCAAAGCATCACAAACCTGACGAATGAAAGGGTGAAGCGGTAGACGAAGTCCATACTCCAAATGCTTCAAGTAGATCGGACCCCTATCACCACCATGGTGATATACAACCTCTGACCTCTCTGGCACTGAAAGAGTGAAGGCTTTAGGGAGTTCAAAGCGATCATAATAAGTTTCGAGATCCCGTTGCACAGACTTTTCAAATAGAATAGACGGAGGGGATTGATACTCATCTTGTTGCAGTCAGAAGTGGAGGCGGGTGAAGCCATCGTAGTTAGTTGGATTTTTTGTCGAAAATTGTTTGACACATCTCATAAAATGAAGTGACGACGGTGCATCATATCTGCTGATGTCAAAAGGTCACCCCAATAGCAACCTATTGCTTTCTTCATAAATGCACCTCAAAACTCTCTGAGCACTAGCCATTTGAACTTCCACCCGTACTCGGCCAACCGAGTTTAAGTGGAAGGGGCTAGTGTTGTAGGCTGCAAGTTAACCAAATATTAATCTCTACCGGGAATACGATGCGTGTCCACTCCATGCTTAACCATATCATTCTAGAAACCAGCAACTCGAGTTGTACTTGCGACTAATTTCGTAAGCTGACAACTTGCATAGCCGACTAGAAAGACAGTACTTGTCAGCCTACCCACCACATCGATCCTATGAATACTCACACTCGGCTTATTGTTCCAGCCGATAACTTGCATAGTCGACTAGAAAAGCGGTGTTTGTCGGCCTTCAACTAGATGGCTATAAAGGCGGTGTGTCCTCGAACCCCCGTGACAACCAACTACCCTCACATAGCTGCTCTGGCAAAGTCATCATTGCTCTTGCCCCTATAGTCATTATGACTCATTGGATCCCGTTAGCTCCAAGCACCTGATGTCTTCCCCATAATAAACTACTAGATGACTCATCTTCGCCAGCGCCGACACCTTTCAGCTATCTATCGATTTAGTTGCCTGGTTGGACTCGGCTTAAGTCACCTATATGCCCTTTTTATCCACTATAAAATGAAGTTATGTAGCTCTAAGGATCTGGCTTTTCATCAACTTTGAAATATTCTTCATCATCCCATATTTTCCACTCAAGTTCATATATTGACTTGATCGTCTAAGGAACAACCGGAGAACCCAACTTCGGCCTCTTATGACTTCTTCGTGTGCAGGAAAGAACACCAGGTTCCTGGACCAGATATCTGAAGAAGCTTAAGGGCCCCAACCCAACACTAATCCTTAAATAAACCCCATGTTCGATAACTGACATCAACATAAATTGTAATCACAAAAAATATTAATTAAATAGTAATTATGTTTTTTAATAAAAGAATAGTTATGCTTGTTAATAGTTATTTAACACTCGTCCAAGAATCCATTCAAAAGTTTAAAAATTCTTTCAAAAAGTAATCTAACCAAAATATCCTAGTCCTAATCGAAATCCTAGAATATAGGTTTTTTGGATAACAATCTTAGTCAAACCAAACGTTCCCAAAGAATAGATTGAATAATACCATTCATGGTGGTTAGAAGGTTAACTTTGCTCAATTTATAATATTATGATGAAAATCATTTGCTCTTATGGGGATGATTCTGATAGTATATATCTTGTTCTTTTGATGGAGTAATGTTTGTTATGGAATCGTAGGTGGTTTAAGCAGTTGTTGATACAAAACTTATCATCTTGAAAACACCACTTGAACCGATACTCTCAACACTTTCACTCCATTTAGAACATCTTTTCCTCTCCACAGTCAGATTATTTCTTGTGTTCAGTTAACAAGAATGTAAAAAAAAAATAAACTGACATTTTCAGTAAAAAATTCAGCAAATACTTTGACCAATTTAGCAGGGAAAAAACTATATATTTCATAAAGAAAACTAAAAATTAAAAGGTAAATGTCATCTCAGCAAAAGTTTCAAAATTCTATCTAGAGAAAATCATTTCCAACTATTATAAATGATATACCTTATGCATCAATTGTGTTTCAATCAAACAAAAAATTTGCCATGAAAATATCTCTACTTACGATAAAATTACAGATAACAAAATAACGAATTGTAGTTGATTTCCACTCAATACCTGCAATACATGCTACGTTCAAATGGGATTATTATATAATTAGTTCTGATTTTTTTAGGAGAAGGAACAAGAATGCCCCCAAGCTTGAATTTCTGGCTATACTACTGCTTCACAGTGTATTGTAGTATGATGTTCGTTGATAGCACATTAGTCTTGTGATCGTGCTTAACGCTACATTCTGGGGGTCGTATAGATTGCTCATCAGTAAGGACAAAGGCTGTGTAGATTGAAGATATTGGACTTACTATTGAAATAGATAAGGTCTTACGCAATCAAATCAGCTTAAAAAAATTTGCTTGAACACTTCATGATCCATGAGTTAATCCATCACCAAGCTGGATCTTAATATTTCTTTTTTGTATTTTAACTTGTTATTTAATATGAATTCAACATGACTGAACTTAATAGTATTTATCCTACGCTATATTGGTTAACATTATTAGGCATCATTGTCACGTATAAAATCTCAGAGA